TCAGAAGCCAGCTGTTCTTCACAAACTCCACCTTGACGACACTGAAATCCTCGTGCGCGCCCACAAGACTCCTCCTCACGGCAAACCTCCGTCCGGCATCAAACACGGTAACACTGCCATCCACCGACCCGGCAGCAAGCAACGTAGAAATCTGGCCCGGCCCGCCCGCCGCCGTCGTAAAGCTCAGCGCCTCAATCGAATCCGACGCAGTCTGCAGCGCCGCAAGAATCTGTCCTCCGCCCACGACGTCCGACGCGCTCTTGCTCTTCCCGCCCTTGCCAGCCTGCGCACTGCTCGCCAGCCTAGGCAAGCTCACGATGCGGATCGCGCCGCCGGCACCACCGACAGCGACCAACGTGCCTTTGGGATCCACCGCGACGCTGTACAACCCGCCCTCAACCACGAACCGCTGATCCTCAGCCGTCAAGCTCACCGTCGTCTGGCCGTTACTCTCTACCAGTCCCGCGGCAGCCGCCTCTCCCCAAACGTCCCACACGTACAAGCTCGCGTCCTCAGAAACAGTGCAGAGGAAGTTTCCGTCGGGCGTCCAGGCGCCCGCGGTGACGGGGGCCTGGTGAAGCCAGTACGTCTGCACGAGCTGCAGGCAGTTCGCAGGGTTGCCGCCTCCCGCAGCGATGTCGATGGTGTACACCCAGACGGAGTTGTCGCTGGCGCCGATGGCGATGGTGTTGGGATATTTGGGGCTCGGGCAGGCGGCGATCCAGTTGATCTCGGGGACCTCCTGCGCCTCGGCGATGAACTTGATCTGGACGCTCGCGGCCTCGGCGGTGGGGGAGTTTACGCGCAGGGCGTGGACGCGGAGCTTGCCATCCATGCCGCCGCTGACGAGGAAGTCGCCCTTGGGGAGGGTGAAGGCCAGGGCGTTGATGCTGTCCGTGTGGCCGTCGATCGGGTAAATGAACTGGAGCTCGGTGGACTGGGGCTGCGCGGCGTCGCCCGAGAAGGAGGCGGGCAGGACGGGGCGGGAGGCGGCGGCGGCGGTGGAGAGGAGGTAGCCCTTTCCGGGGGCGTCGTCTGCGTCGCCTTCGGAGCCGCCGGTGGCGATGAGGGTCGGGTGGACGGGGTGCTGGGCGATGGCGAAGACGGAGTCCTTGTGGGCGTCAAAGTAGGCGACAGAGTCGTTTTGCAGGTTGATTTCTTCGTTTTCGTCGTCAGAGTCCATAGGCATGTCCTCGTCGTCGACGTTGACTTCCTCGCCGACCTCGTCGGCCTCGAGCATCTCGGGCTCCGACTCGTGGCCGTCGTCTTGAGGTGTCTTTTCGTTAGGGGCCGACATCTTGTTTGTATGTCTAGGTTGTGTTTGGTGATGGGGTCGTTTTTCGTGTATCTTTCGGGTAGAGGTTTTTGCACTCTTGGACGTAATGCGCCAAATCCTCTCGGGCTTTTCTTCGAGAAAAAGGATAAAAGGGTATGACGTATGAAGGAACGCTGGGTATCGATCCCTTATTTATTGCAAAGACAACAAGGGTGCAGAAGCAGGAAGACGATGTTGCTTTATTAATCGTCAATCGAGGGTTCCGGGTGCTTGATAAGCAGGAATTGCGTCGCGCGGGTCGAATTTTTTTGCAGCTTTCTTGGATGGCGGGGTGGCGGGGTAATTCATTCGCAGGTTGACGGCCTCCACTGAAAACTGCAGGCGGTGAGCTCACCCATGGGAAGCCGGGGCCACCGGTTGCTGCAGTCCCCCGGGATCATGGCGGTCGGTGTGACTCTTCACCGGCCATCGGCAGCACGGCGCTTGGCCCGGATGGATTCAATGCCCGTCACGGAGGTAAAGCGAATACATAAAAGGTTCCTCACGTGGTTGGGTTGCTGATTTCTCAAATATACTTCTAGCTATCTTCTCAGTGACCTGACATCCGTATTGTCGTGTAGACTGACTGCGCGGCTCACTCGTCAGGCTACCTTACATACCTTAAGTCGCTTTAACTCCTTTCTCTCACTCTCACTCACTTTCTCACTTTCTCACTTACAGGTACTTAGCTATAGATAGCAACGTCAGTCTCATAATGAAGCCTTCAATTCATACTGCTTTACTCCAGGATATCATCTATCAATCCTACTCAACCATAGCATCGCAACTGGACGCTGCCATCGCTACGCCCACCCATCAAAATCGGCCATCTAAACGCCCCGCACGCTGGTGTGAAAATGAAGCCCTCCTACAATGATATATCCATCTCAAATCAACTCCCCCCATTACAACTTACACCACCATCCCCTATGCGATCATCTCAGCCTCTCAGCACCGCAGAGATCTTGACTGCGCCCACGACTACCTTCACCTCCGATCATTATCAGCAGGCAACTCCGTAGGTCCCTCCCCGCTAGCCAACTCAACAGGCGGCTGAGGCTGCGTATACCCTTTGTATTGCGTATGCCCTGCGCCTTGATGCTGGCCACCGGGATTCATGAGGACCTTGTCGTTGTTGTAATACCCAGCCATGTCTGTCCCAATCATTTCCGACGCAGGCGGTGACGCCTGGGGATATTGCCCGTTATGCTGTTGCTGCCCGTACGGCTGACTCTGGTACGCGTACGCGCTCTGCGCTCCCATGGCCGAAGACCCGTCCATCTCAGGCGCCGTGGGCGTCTCAACGGGCTTTACGCCCGCATACCGGTGCTTCCGCCGCCTCCACCACAAGAACAGACCCACGAGTGCTGCTATCGCCACGACGGGAATGACGACCGCCACAGCAACTATACCGCCTGTTGATAGACCACCTGAACTCGCTCCTGATGTGGCTGCGGCGGTAGCGCTACCGCTGGTGTTGTCCGCTCCGGCCGCCGTACCAGTCGCACTCGCACCCGATGTCGCACTGCTTCCCGCCGCCGCCGTCCCCGTTGCCGTTGCCGACGCAATTGACGCTCCCGAGGTCGTCTTGGCCACGAGATCGCTTGCCTGGTACACCATCCTGATACCCCACGCATTCACACCATCGCGGTCCGACATCGTGACAGCCTGCGTAGCCACAACCCCGTTGTCCGTCCGTGTAATATCAACGACCGTTGCGGGACCCGCCATCCACGTGCAAAATTGTGTCTCCCACACGTTGGCGAGCGTCATATCGTCCTCGACACACGATAGCGTCATATCTCCGCGGTAAGGACAGCAGGTGACAGTCGTCACAGAGCGCACGCCACCGTTACGAGAACACTGCGGCTGCGCGGTGTAGCCCGTCGGGCAGACGGTACCGGGGGAGTAGAATGCCGTGCTGGCGCCGTTGAACTTGTTGGGCAGACATTTGCTATCGTTGTCGATGGCGTAGACGTTGTTGGTGAGGTAGATGCCTGAGCAGGATGACGCTGGCGGTGAGAAGTCGGCCGTTTTGAGCGGGTTTTCGGGAAAGGTTGACGCGATGAACGTCGTTTTTGTTGATAGCGCCATTTCGAAATGGGTATATGTGGTGAACGAACGTGAGGGCTGATGTCTAGATACCCTCGATCGGTGTATGATTGGGCTCTGAGAGGTTGATCTCGAGTTCGACTTCGAGCTTGTCTTTGTCTACTTGTGTAAGACAAGACAAGGATGACCGCGTGTGGGTACTACTACACTGCGAGATCGAGAAACCCAAGATGAGGCGATTCGCAAACGACGGAAGGGTAACAATCGGTAAGTAATTGCAGTGAATGGCAGGCAAAAAGACAGAACAGAGGGAAAATGGGACACGATCAGCAGGGAACCAGGGAAGCACTCGCTTTTCACAGAATCCTTCGTGCCCATCCATTTCCCAGCTTACACTCTCGCACTCACACGCCCCCCTTCTGGGTCATCCCGTCCAGTCCGCACCAACCAGTCAGACGGCGCCAATCCGACACCACAACCGATGAACCCCATGTCTGGAACCTTGGAGTCCCTGAAGTCCCATCGCACGAGACGGTGGTGAGTGGGAAGAAAAGGGCAGCATCCGTAAGGATTCCGATGGGCTGGGGCGGTACAAGCAGGGGGGGGGGGGGCCAAGCATCTCAGGTACTGCAGGCAGCCAAATAACAGGTACCAGCACAACACCGCTTGGGAGGTGAGAAAAAAAAAGGTCATAAATTTGGATGCGACGCTAGGAAGAAGGGGGAATAGGTTAAAATGGCGCTGAACTGGAGCCAAGCGAAATCTCCATCGTCGCGCAGGCAGGCGCTGGGAGGAGTCTGTGAGGTGCCTTCGCGAATCCTTCGGCAGGGATCTGATGGCCAGGGGCTGAGCCAGCGGGCGTGTCTGCATCCGTGATCTGTGCCATGTTCAGAGTCTCGAATCTCTCGATCTGGACCCGTCGTTGTCGATGACAAACGTTCTGATGGTTGTGTTAAGGCTGGCACGGCTGGCAAGATCCTTTGACAGTTCCTTCTGAAGATGATTATGAAGCAGATTTGTATATACTTAGGAGTACAGAAAGATGAGATAGCAACTGCTTCCCATCCCCTTGTGAATACCCACAGAAACTACAGCTACTAGCTCATCCGTCAGATTTTGGCTCATTAGCGCCACGGGCCTTCCAAGCTCTAGCGCGTGAGCACGGAAAATGAAATGAACCTTGCCTTGGAAGGGATCCAGTGGTGTCTTTCCCCATCAACCGGTTTCCGTGGCATAAGATCGAACGAACGAGACGCGCCTCGGCTTATTACCTTGACCTCATTCATCCTACGAAAATGGTGATGTCGCGCGAATAATCGGTTACTTTCTCACGTGTTCTTCCCGATGCATCGATGTACTGTTTGGTAAAGGAATCCGAGGGGATGTTGCCGTTGGAAATGGTATTTGTTCCAAAGCTCCACCACGGCGCCCGGGTCACAATGTTCCAAATCTTTGAGCCCTACTCCGCATTGTGAGCCTTTCTAAACCCGTAGTTTCACTCTAACAACTGGCAAAGGCTGCCTTTCAACGATTATGGAACATCAAATGGCGCGTATTAAAAGTGGTTCTGCAGTCACAAACTACCCTGAACTCTTCGTCATGTTACCTCTTGTCCTCGAAACATGAATTGACCTCAACCATTCAAGCTTCGCGTGCTCCCTGAGGCTGCCGTCTCGCCCGCCACGGAGCCTAGTCCACCTCTCCCTTCTTCCACGTGCCCTTCTCTGTGTTTTGCCAAAGCACCGCCCTGCTTCTTCCCGTGTAACTTCAACCCGCAAAACCTTCGCTGTGATACTTTGTCCGGACCATCTTCCTTGGGTTCAGCCCTCGTTTTTTCGGTTGGTTTGCCTTCCGCGCTTCCTTCACGTCCATGCCAAAGAGACGCCCCATTGATCTTTTGCCGCACCCGCCTGATCAGTTCTTTGGCGTTGACCTTTCCGACAATGAGAATGATAATTATTAATGTACGCAAAAGATACGCCCTGTCGAGCTTCTGCCGCCCCCACCTGATCAGCTTCTCCCGAATCTGCCGGCTGTCTCCATATCTGGCGTTGACCTTTGCGACAGAAAGAATTATCACTAGACCCAGGATGAATACTCCAACAAACAGCCCAAACATTCCACCGACAGTTTGCGCATCAGGCGTCCCGCTCATGCTGAACATGCCTGTTGCAAACCCCAGAGGCAAGAATATGGCAGTGGTGTATGTGAAAAGCTTGACATCCTTATTGTTTCGTCGGCTTTCTTCATTTGAGATGCTCTCAAGACCGCCGCTCACGTACTCGAGCTCTTGCGTAATCGACTCTGCAAGGATAGAGATTCCCTTGAGGTTGCGATCCAGGTCTTGGATAGCCCGCCGGTTTACGACCAGCAACTTGTTCAGTGTCGACCTGTAGCGACTCTCGTCGCTGAACGTCCAGCAGGGCTGTTCGGCTTGGCGATCCTTCTCTCGATTGAGACAATGGTCGCTGATGGGTCTGGCTTTTGCGAAATCTCCGTGTATCATCTGCAAACGTTCCTGGAACTTACGGAACTCATTGCTGGTGACGACGAAGCTGTTGTAGTCGATAGGACCGCCGTCATCTGTGTTCGGATCGCCTTGTTCTTGCTTGAACATTTGAGAGCCTTGGAGCCTTCGAAGCCTTTGTTCCAACTTAGTTTTCTCTTTCAGCACAGTGCTTTCGGCCAATTCCAGGATATGGCCCGCGCTCGTGGCCATTTCGCTGATGATGTGTCCGAACAATATCAATTCGAGCACTCTCCGTTGCTCCCAAGGACCGGTCTTGACTTCCCACAAGTCATAAGCATCGTCTTCATGGTTTTGCTGCAGCAACTTGATCAAACCAGTCTTCACTTCATTCTTGCTAGCCGACAGATGAGGGTTTGCCACCACAAAACGGCAGGTCCAATATTTGTCGAAAAAGTCGCCCTCGAACCGGAATCCCATTGCCATTTTTTCAAGTTTGTCCCCACACCAAAACCCTTCTTTCTCAACACCAGAGTAAAAGGCCATTTGGAACTCCGTTGTCCAAATATTCAGCTCTGCTATCGTTTCCTCGGTGAAGAAGTTGCTGTTGGTCTTGTGTCTGTGGAAGAAGTGTCCCATCTCTCCTTGTTCACGTTCTTCGTTTGGAGCCAACGTCTTGGTGCTGCTCGAATTCTCCTCCGCGTTTGTCAGGATGAAAGCCCAAAACCTCTTCTTAGCATTTTGGGCATCCCTTTGGGACTTGACAGCCTCCTCGAACGAATCCTCATCATTTGGATAGTATTCAACTGAGAAAGACGACAAAGGCCGCTTATCCTTGAGCGGCCGACGCTCCTGGATGTCGATCTTGAGTAGAACGTATGGGCTGATAACCTTTGCCGACATCGAGGTCCCTATGTTTGCATCGGAATCTGGCATATTGTTCGTGTCGACATCGGTCATGGCCGTCGCGTTGACGAAGAAATCAGGTTCATTGTAGAGCCACTCGTCCTGCAGCTCCACGACGTTGTTGTCGTCTATAACATTGTTGAAGGGGAGATTGTGTTTCATCCAGTAGCCGTAACGATATCTTGGCCCCGTTGTCTCTATCGGATGACCTGATAGACCTCCCAAATATTTGGAGATACCCTTGATGGAATGGTGCATGAGCTCGAGACGGCTATTCACTGTAATCGAGTCACCTTTGGTGCCAAGATCGGGATTTTTTCGAGGATGGAAACAGTAGTCTTTCCACAGAATGTATGGAACTTCGAAAACAACTGTCCAATAGTTGTCTCTGTCTCTATCATCCTCGTATACGGCTGGGCCTTGTCGTTCATCGAGTGCCCCGGTAAAAAGTCCGTTGGAAGAGGAGCTACTCAGTAAAACTGACAAGGCTTGCTTTATCAGCTCCTTTCTGGTCCGAAGGTTGATGAATCTTCCATGCTGAGCCATTGTGATAGCTAGAGCGAATCGTCGAGGATCACTCCAGTCGGTATCGTCATTCCCCTCATGATGTTTCTGGCTGTCGAGGGTGTTCATCCATTGGATGTCAGCTTGCTCAAACAAGCCTTCCTCCATGGCACGGAAAAGAGCAACGTCTTTCGAGCGGAAAAGAAACCGGGTTTGCGTAGGACTTCGTTTCACGGCGATCATCCTCTGCTTCAAAAGAGAGTTCTCAGTCGTAAATCTCTTGACGATGTTTTCCCGTAACCTATCAGCCGAATATCTACCCATCTTTTTACCCAACTCAGAATCATCCTTGGGTGTGGATTGAAGGTTCATCGACTCTGCAGATCTGACTGCCTGCCAGATTAGAGCATGGTTTGTAAGATAGAAGGTCTTGATAGGTTTTCTGTCGTCGCTGGCCTTGTAAGAGGGGAATGCGAATTTCTCAGACTTCTCGACCTCTCCGAGGTCACGAATCCATTTTCCGTACGCAACCTTTGCCTTTTCTATCAATTCATCTGGCATGTCTTTTCCCAGTCTCTTGTAAAAGTCTGCTGCTTTGATGAATTGGAATGGGGCGTCAACGAGGGACTTTCCTGGTAGCCATGGATCGGTTTTCCAGTCATCGATTTCTGCGCCATTGGTCCAGTAATTAGGAGAGAACGGGCTAGCAGACTTGGCCGCTTCCCGAAAGACCCATTTCATATGGCCCTTGCACACGTGTTCGATCCGCGTCTTCATCGTGCAGACATAAGGTAGTGTCAGAGATGGTACAGACATATTGACACGTTTGCACGCGCAAACAGTCGGTTGTTTGGCAGCTTCGGCTTCTCGATGCAAGGCTGTGAAGTGGTCCAGACCAAGGAGTAGGAATTGGAAGGCATAGCTTTGTCTAATCATCAGCACATGAGACGCTATCAGCGACAGAAAGAACTCACAAGCTTGCCGAGATTGCCACCCGATGACCATCAACATCACCGCAGGTAAGAGCATAAGCCGGTATTCCATCAGAATCTGCTTCAGACACAGGAATGCTGCATACGGATAGAATGTACTCCAGATTTCTTCCGAGGAAAAAGTTGAGATTGACATCTTCAGTCAATCTAACCATGGGATGGTGTTGAAGGAGCCCGCCAGCTTCCAGGAATTTCTCCCAATCTGGCAAAGGTTCAAGATCAGAAGACGTGGAGCCTTGCCTGAGTGTGTACGCCAGAACAACCTCCGAGACTATGTGCTGAAGATGATTGCTGCTCTTTTGAATACCGAAGCAAGTATTCGCCTGGTCTGACTTGTGAAATTCAAGCGAGTTACTCTGGTCCAAAACTTGGAGATGGAGGACGAAATGTTGGCCGGGAATTTTGTGTTCCCGCCTGACATGATTCTTTGCTTGCCCAGGACCAGTAGTATAGACCGGCACTTCACCATCAGGAGTTCGCGACAAAGCCTTATTAAACTGGTTGTCCCAATTCACAAAGTCCAGGTTCCTGATCAATACTTCCGAGTTCAGTGATAGAGTACGCAAGATGTCGTTCGGGAATTCCCTTGCTTCGGGTCTTGGCGGTTGTTTTTCGGCAGTGTCTATGATCTCGAATTTCTGATAGATAGTGCCTTGGAATGCCACATAAGACACGCGCAGCTTGTTCGAAGGCTCGCCTGACATCGGTCTGGTAAAGGTAGGCCATCGATCGTTGACAACGTCATGCTCAGCATCTCCTGCTGGATATAAAGAGTCGATGCGGGGACCGATTCCTCCCAAGCTTTCGTCGATAGAACGTCTCAGAAAGTCTTCTAAACGCCAGGAAATGAGGTAGGGACTTCTAATATCCTTATCGTCCACGCAAATTCCTGTCTTCTGTCCAGGGAAATGTTGAGTGATTCGCAGTAACCGCCCAGTTGCACCAACGCTCGCTGTAAGACCCTGGTCACCGAAAGAGAAACAGCTCTCACGCGCGGTCTCTTTCTTAGCAGCTTCCTTGATCAGATCAGATAGCTCCTCAGAGTGTTTTGCTGCCATTGTTGATGCACCTTCGGTTCGAGCACAAGAAAGTATTGACGGGGACAGGATAATCTGGTTGAGAGGAAGTTGCGATAATGAAAGGAGGAACAGTCTGCGCGGCCGATTCGTAGGTAGTAAGCTGAGTAGAAAGGGCTCGATCCTCTTTGTTGTAAACCTCCATCCGCCCTCATGTCCCCATTAAGACTAGATGTGGGATTCCGAAATATTGCTTCAGCTCGCCAAGCTATGCTGCATCGCGTCTGCACCTATGGAGCCAGGGTTCACCAGAAAAATGAAACATTTTGTCGGATAGGTCTCAGCACCCCAAAAGGGTGATATGATATATGACATGCCTCGAGTTGCGAAATCGCTCAGAGAAAGCACAGAACTCAATAGCTTATGCATGGAGATAGAGACTGGACGTTTCAAGCCTCAAAGTTGAGACGTATTCTAGCTTGTGATGCCATTATAGTAGGTGAGCGGCCACTTCAGCGATTGAATGTTTCTCTGTGTTTTCATAAACCTACGATGATGAACCTTTTACAGAACCCTAGGCCTTCCAGCCACTTTCACTCCTACATAACATGGAATAGCTCAGGCAGGGATGACAAGTTATGTCTCGATCGCTATCTATCATCGGTCAACTCCATCATATGCCGCCGGGGGTAGAGTTGGCATGTCGTGGTACATGAGGCACATTAAATGTGTTCAACCTTCCTCCAGGAGCCGTTTAGCCTAATCTGTTCCGTGGGATGTTTTAGGGTAGCGAGTGGTGAAGCCAATGAATGGATGCTTTCTCGAAAATTGCATTATATTATCAGCAAGTCCAGGGTCTACATAATCAGTTGGGCAAACCGCGTAGAGAAGACTGTGATATCATGCTCCAACCGCAGTTCACGCTTCCAGTCCGTTTTGCTTCGCTCTCTTCGGTTTGTTGTCCCCTTTGAGAAATGCCCGCATGAGCATGCGCATTGTATGCAATAGCTATCAGTGAGGCTGAAAAAGTGATCCACGATCGACCAATTAGTCTCCACCTTTATGCATGTGAAGGGACGGAAGAGGAAAAAGAAAGCCAACCAGTGTCCGTTCATACCCGCAGCTAGCTGGCGATCTTCTGAGTGACAGGTCAGGCCCTCTGGCCTGGCGCTATGAGGCTTCCCGTCTAAGTATTACGCGACAGCCGACGACAAAGTTCTCTATGTGTGGATCAGACACAGTACTGGCCTCTATTACATACCTTCGGTGACCAAGCAGATGCGTATTATTATACTTTAGGAGTTGCATGTGAGCCACGTCGAAATTCTGTCCTGATTTCGTCGAAAGCTTATATCAAAGCTTGATGGTCTGTTGGACACTTTCACTGGTTCAGTTGTGAGAACAGACTCATATGCATGGTAGCGTTCCGCACACAATTGTGCACTTGAAGTCCTCGCCGTCGTTCAGATGGCCACACCCCTGTCTCTCTCTTGGTGAATTTATAACAACAATGTCCATCAACGTTCACAAAATGGCACATCGGCCAGCAGCTACCGACAGGAATGAATCAAAGTATCCAACCTTTGCCATCAAACATGTCAAACTACAAATCCAAGGACACAAACTCCTCCTCCTGGCCCTGGACCACCACCTCCACACCACCCTTCGCAGCCTTGCCAAAATCCTCAAACAACCAATTCCTCACCATCTGCAACCCAACCTCAGGCTGATCCAACGGCACCATATGCCCCGACCCCGCAACAGTCACAAATGCAAGCCTCGTCTCCTTGCCACCCCTCATCTTCTTAGACACCTGCTTCCACATACCCGCCTGGACCGTCTCTCCTCCCTTCTTGACCGCAAACCACGGCTCGAGCTCCCTAGCAACAAACTCAACCTGCCCAGCCCACGACAACTTGTTGGTCCACCGCACGTTACCAGCCGTGTTGCACGCGAGGTCCAAGTCGCCGTTGTACACGAGCACGTCGACGCCATTCTCGAGGATATACTTGACATCCGCCTCGGTAGTTAAAAACACATCCCCCGCAAGCTCGAACCGCTCATTCACATCCATGGAGATGAGACTAAAATTCTTACCCACCGCCTCGGGCACCTCGAGCGCGGCAAGCACCCGCTCCGTCTTAATGTACTTCTCAATCCCATCCCCGGCACCGTAGCAGATATTCTCCGTCTCGCACGGCCTCGTGATATCGAACGGATTCCGTCCGCCGGCCTTGACGTCCTGATAATACAGCAGATCCACGTGCCCGAAGCAGAAATCCGTCGCGGCGCCGCAGACGATGGGGTCCGGGAAGGCGTAGCACGCCTGCTGGAGGTACATGCACCGCGGCAGCGCATCGGCAATCAACCCACACATGCTCTCGTTGAATACGGGCTCGGGGACGCCGGGTTTGGTGGTGCAGAGGGTATCGTAGAAACCCCACGTCGTGTCGGCGGGCGAGACGTAGCCGTTGCCGATAAGCACCGACGCCAGCGGGACCTTGAACTGGGGAGGCGGGGAACCCGTGTTGTATGAGACGATCTCTGCGGCGAGCGCGGGGATGTAGTGTCCGCCGTAGCTCTCGCCTACAATGTGGAAGGGCGCGGTGGCGAGACCGGGGAAGGCTTGGTAGAAGATGCGGAGGAAGATGTTCATATCCTCGGCGGCGGTGTAGGACGTCGCCGGCGGGGTGACGTCCTCGTCGAAGTAGGAGAGCCCCGTGCCGGCGGGCTGGTCGACGAAGATCATGGAGGTGTTTGCGTTCCAGGCGTAGGGGTTGTGGACTGTGCCTGTGCCGTTGTCGTTGATGAGGCAAGGTCCGAGTTCTAGCATGAGGCCCACGAGACCGCTTCCGCCTGGTCCGCCTGTCATCCAGAGGCTGAGGGGGTCATTCTCGGGATCGTTCAGACTCTCGAAATACCCTATCAATGTCGCTTTAGTCGCGCGTTCGCGTCCAATCTTTGAAGCACATTTCACTCACAAAAGAAGAGGTGCTTTCCACCAGTGTCTAGCCATCCGGTCCACTGCCTCGAGCCCGCGTCACAAATCTCATCGCTTTGCTCCTTAATACGGATGGCGTGGTGCGGGTGTTCCGGCACTGAGAGGGTGGTGAAGTCGGGCGACTTAATATCAGCCTGCGTCGCGACCGCGGAGGCGAAGCTAGTGAGGATCGCGAGTCCGGGGACTGCGAGGGAAGTAATCCGGACCATCTTGGCTTACTTGTGAGCCAGGAGGCGCTCGATTGATGAAGGCCCACGGCAATCAATTGACGAGAGACAATGAGGTGAGATATGAGATGAGGGTGAGTGAAGTGAGCTCCTGGGTGGTGAGATGCAGGCCTGGGGGAATTTTGAGGTGGGAACCTGGAAGGTTACGGCGTCCTGATCAGGAAGGCCGGACCGCCGAGTGGGGTCGGCTCGGTGTACCGGGGAACACAAAGTCTTTTGAATCTTCGGGTCATCACTGCAAGTACCTCAACCGCGTAGAAGCTCGCGATCACGATCAAAGTTATCAGTCAGATCGGACACCGATGAGTTTGTTCCTTGCGGTTCGTTCAATTGGAGCAAGAATGCACTCTTGATGACGGAACACCGTCAGGCTATCAATTCATGAAGAGCCGATTTTGCTTGAGGCGGAGGACGCTGCCTAAGGACTCCCCGCTAGAGCCGAAGAGAACGAAAGTGAGCAGATGGAAGGCTTCCTCTAAGTATGATCCCACCAAAAGATTCAGAGGGTGAAAAGGCATTCACAATGATCCATTGTTCCAGACATCACCAGTGATACCACGTTGAACTTATCAATATCAATATTTTTCCCGGCTATAGATGCCAGTCTAGGTAGATAACCAAAACCAAATTCGCACGCCCAGTAATGCAATAACCTCAACAAAACAACCATTTTTGTTGTTTTGTTGCTTAAAACTCCCCGGTGGCCCGTATCTCCGGCCCCATAAACCCGCCCGCACATTCATATAGTAAAGATGAAGGTGTATGTGTATTCCCTGTTGAAATCGTAGGAACTCAAATCCCCGCTTGCTAAGAGATGATTGGAAAAATGTTGAAGGATGTCGGGGTACAAGACGGATGTCAGCGGTTTAGATACCCCGTCTGAGATCGTCTTGTCGTTCCCGGGTTGCAAACATGAAGGCTGTCGTGCAGGCACAAATCTATGGTCTGCTGGTATCATGTCTATCAGATGCAGAATCATCGATTTACTCTGACGTGGTATCCTCGACAGGAGGGCACGTGCAGAACAGGTGAGTGTCACCGTATGCTATACTCGGTTAGTAAAAACACAAATGCCAATGAACAAAGGGGTAAAGCTTACTGTCGTCAACGCGAGCCACGCTAGGCCAGAACTTCTTTTCCTTGAGGTGAGGCAGGGGGTACGCAGCCTTCTCACGGGAGTAGGGACGATCCCACTTGCCCTCGCCGTCACCCAGGATGACGTCCATCTGGGGGTGAGGCGCCATGCGAAGGACGTTACCCTCACGAGGCTGCTTGCCCTCCTCGACCTCGCGAATCTCCTCACGAATGCTGATGAGAGCGTCGACGAAGCGGTCGAGCTCCTCCTTGCTCTCACTCTCCGTGGGCTCAATCATGAGCGTGTTGGCGACGGGGAAGCTCATGGTCGGGGCGTGGAAGCCGTAGTCCTGGAGACGCTTGGCAATGTCAATAGCCTCAACGCCGGCGGTGGCGATGAAGGGACGGGCGTCGAGAATGAACTCGTGCGCGCAGCGGCCGTTCTCGTTGGTGTAGAGGATCTTGTAGTGAGGCTTGAGGCGGGCGAGGATGTAGTTGGCGTTGAGGATGGCAGTCTTGGTGGCGAGGCGCAGACCGTCATTGCCCATCAGTGCGTTGTAAGCCCAGCTGATGGGGAGGATACCGGCGCTGCCGAAGGGGGCGCTGGAAACCATGGCCTGGTCGGCGTCGTGGGCAAGACCGGGAAGGAAGGGTGCGAGGTGCTCCTTGACGCAGATAGGTCCGACACCGGGGCCACCGCCGCCGTGGGGAATGCAGAAGGTCTTGTGGAGGTTGAGATGGCAGACGTCAGCGCCGATCTCGCCGGGCGAGGCGATACCGATCTGGGCGTTCATGTTGGCACCGTCCATGTAGACCTGACCGCCGTACTTGTGGACGAGCTCACAAGCCTTCTTGACCGCGGGCTCGTAGACACCGTAAGTGCTGGGGTAGGTGACCATGAAGGCACCCAGCTCCTCAGCGTGCTTCTTGCACTTGGCCTCCAAGTCCTCAATGTCAAGGTTACCGGTCTTTTGGTCGCACTTGATGGGGACGACACGCATGCCGGCCATGGCAGCGGACGCAGGGTTGGTGCCGTGGGCGGAGACGGGAATCAAGCAAATGTCACGCTTCTCGCCGCCGGGCTTGGAGAGAAGGTGCTTGCGGATGGCCTGAAGACCAGCAAACTCGCCTTGAGCGCCAGAGTTGGGCTGCAGAGAGACGGCATCCATGGACGTGATACCCTTCAGCTGGTCAGAGAGACTCTCAATCAGGGCGGTGTAGCCCGGGAGCTCGCTTGCGGGCGTGTGAGGGTGGATAGTGGAGAAGCCGGGGAGGGTGATCAAAGCCATCTCAGTCGCGCCGTTCAGCTTCATGGTGCAGGATCCGAGAGGGATCATGGAGTGAACAAGAGACAGATCCTTGGACTGCAGGTAGTGAATGTAGCGGAGGATCTCGGTCTCACTGCGGTGAGTGTTGAAGACGGGATGAGTGAGGTATGCGGACTGGCGGCGGAGAGTCGCGGGAAGGAGCTCGGTGATGTCCTGGGTGAGAGCACCGTAGGCTTTGCTCGCAACCTCGGCGGTCTGGGTACCGGTAGCGCTGCCGAGGACGGCGGCAATAGACTTGAACACCTCCTCAGTGACGTGCTCGTTGACGCTGATGCCAATGTCGCCGTTTCCGAAATCGCGGAAGCCCAGACCAGCCTTCTTGGCCTCGGCCAGGATCTTCTGAGAACGGTCGCTGGCCTTGATGACAACGGTATCGAACAGAACCTTGCCATCAGGGCTGGCGCCGCTCTGCTCAGTCTCCAGACCCGAGGCCTCGGCAACGGCCTGGACTCCACGGGCAAGACGAACCAATCTTGAGGCAATCTCCTTCAGCCCCTCGGGTCCGTGGTAGACGGCAAACAGGGCAGCCATGTTGGCCAAAAGAGCCTGAGCAGTGCAGACGTTGCTGGTGGCCTTCTCGCGACGAATGTGCTGCTCACGAGTCTGCAGAGCCAATCTCAAGGCACGGTTGCCGTTTCGGTCCTTGGAGACACCGACCAAACGGCCGGGCATGCGGCGCTTGTGGGCCTCCTTGACGGCAAAGAAGGCGGCGTGGGGTCCACCGAAGCCGAGGGGAACACCGAAGCGCTGGGCACTGCCAAAGGCAATATCAGCACCCCACTCGCCGGGCGGCGTGAGGACCGTCAGAGCAAGCAAATCGGTGGCGGCACTGAGGAGGGCACCTTGCTCATGAACAAGCTCGGAGAGTCCCTTGAAGTCCTCGACCTTGCCCTGAGTGTCAGGGTACTGGACCATGACACCAACCAAGTCCTGTCCCAGGGCCTTGATCTTCTCTGCAGAGTCTGCTGCGTTCACGTCGATAATCTCAACCTTAATGCCGAATCCTTGAGCTCTGCTCTGGATGACTGAAATAGACTGAGGGTGAACGAGGTGAGAGACAACAAAGGTCTTACCGGGTCTCTTGGCCCGGGATGATGAAAGAGCGTTCATCGAAAGAGTCATGGCCTCGGCGGCGGCCGTACCCTCATCCAACAAACTGGCGTTGGAAATGGGGAGTCCGGTCAAATCGGACACCATAGTCTGGTAGTTGAGAAGCGACTCGAGGCGGCCCTGGCTGATTTCGGGCTGGTAGGGAGTGTAACTGGTGTACCAAGCAGGGCTCTCGAGGACGTTGGTCTGAATAACGCGGGGCGTGACGCTGGGGTTGTATCCAGCACCGATAAGAGGCTTAGGAGCGGCCTCGTTGGCCTTGGCCCAAGCAGTGGCTCTCGCGAGCACTTTGCTCTCGTCAAGGGGGCCCTCATTGTCCCAAGCACCAAATGTCTTCCTCTCGGAGATGACATCCGGGGGGACAACCTGAGCAATAAACTCGTCAATTGACTTTGCCGGAGGGTCGAGCGCCTTCAACATGGCCTCAGCATCGGTAACATCAGGACCGATGTGTCGGGGAATAAAGGACTCGGGCCTCTGCAGCGGCTCAAGGGAGGGATCGACTGAGCCAATCTTTGCACTGGTGGCATGTTGAAGAGAGGCGAAGGCGCTGAATGTCCTCACACGGGGAATTCGCGAGGACGATGCCGAGCTTGAGACACATGAGTTGCAAACCCACGAGGAAGCTGGTGTCTGGCGGGCAGCGATCCTTGACCTCGGGGCAGCCAGCCGAAGCTGGCGGGGGAGGGGCAATCTCAGTGATGCCATTGTGTGAAGTGAATGGAGTGGCAATTCACACAAAGAAGATGAAAATGCCAGTGAGACTCGCCAATGTCGGAGGTGTGTCTTGAAGAAGAATAGAAAAGAAGAGAGAAAAAGAAGAAGGACAGGTGTTGTGGTTGAGAGAGTCGTGCGTATAGAAGTATTGCTCGGATCTGGGGCCGATATCGTTGTAGCTCAAGAAGTAGCACCCTTGTCGCCACCAACTTGCGATCCGAGATGCGACTCGGGATAAAAGCGACCAAGCTCTCGCACGCAGCCCAAAAACCGTTTCAAAACACCTGAATCCAGGTCTTGACGCGAATGAGGTTTCTGTTGAACAGATGGGATGATTGTTCGGAAAGAACAAATAGAGGCCAAAGTAAGGTAGACAACAGAACAGCTTCCGGAATGCTCTTCAAATATGAAGGAGTCGGTGAGAGTGAGCTTGAGGACCGGCAACCATCCGCCCTTTCGTTTCTTTTCTTTTTTGCGGCAACGGCTACTTATCGAGACAGCGGTACGTACTGCATAGTTAAAACACCAAAGGTACGAATACCAGGCATGTAGGCCACCAGACGTGGCCAGGGATACCGTTCCTGAATCGTATACCTACACAGTAGTGTAGTGAGGTATGTACAAGTAGATCTCCCTACGAATTACAGAGTGAGATACAGACTACTGCGTTTGCATACTGGACCGCCCGCTCGTTCGCCGCCGCAACGGACACCCTAAACACCCGACGCCAAACACCAACCCTTTCGGTTGGTTACGGGATCCCTGGGAACCGCGCACCAACACCCTGAGAGGTGAGGGTGCGAGGTGAGACTTGGCCTTATCGGGTGCGTAGCGGCGCTCACTGATAAGCGCGGTCAAGACGATAGGGAAGCTTGATGATGGGTGCCAGTTGGATTGTGATCCGTAGCTTGTAGGTGGGCTCCAGTTCCCCAGTCATTCCCTGACTTTGGGGCCCCGGCGCGTTGGGCAAACAGCTCGGCGAGCCATCCATGAGCCGCCGCCATTACGTCCAGAAACGGATGTGAAGGCCAGTGACAGGTCGTGAAGGGTGGCGGGCGGGAGACTAGGTTCTGGGGCTCTCCTTCGCGCAGTATATTCCCAAGCGGTCGTGTGGTTAGGAGGGTTGGAGGGGCGCGGATGAGAAACCGAGTGCTCGGTCAGAGAGCCGAGTATACCACCACCTCAGACCTGCCACCAAGAAACGTTTCCCGGTCCCATCTCTTTCATAAACTTATGCCGCTAACCGCCTTACCTAAGCAACCATGTTTTTGTGCATGTGCAAATTCGATTAGGTAAGGAGACTGAGTACCTAAGCACGCGCCTGTGGAGACCTCTACGCAGTAGGTAGGTATGTTGAGGCTCTAGGTACGTACGTACCGGCCGGGACGGAGCTCGAACGATGGAGCTTCTCTAAATTTTTGCGACGACATCATCGCTGAACCTGGCACCGACGCGAAATCCCAATCACGAACGAACCGCTCATCTTGCGCCCTCGCCCTCGCCCACGCCCATCTACTTCCTTAAAGTCAATACCACTAAGCTACCAACAAGATGTTCGGAGGATGTACGTTCCCTATCTACCCTATGCGAGCCGAATTGCACCGAAAGCAAAGCTGACCATCTTTTCCTGCAGTCGCGCCCCCCCAGCTTTCCGAGGAGGAGATCAAGCAGATGGAGGCTGAGGCCAACTTCTCCATCCAGCAGGTCGTCGTCTCCGCCGTCCTTCTGTACCTCTGTAAGTGCAACCTCTCCTATTCCTATATATGCAACTAGGTCCTTAGAGTGGTTGCTAACGAGAGACTTCTTGCTCAGCCCCTTTTGTCATTGATGCCGCCTCCAAGGTCCTGTAAAGGGCTCACCTTTCACCAACGACAAGTCGATGAGCTTGCCAAAGTTCAGCATTACGACAAAGAAAAGAACACCGAGGAGATGCTCTTTACGAGCAACCGGGTTGCAGCACCAATGAAGCGCTGCTAGCCACCAACCCGCCTCAGGGATGTGTAATGGGAATAATTACCCCTGTTGTAAAATAAACATCATCTGTACAGTGTAGACGACGACTGGTTGGATGGGCTATGGGTATAGATCACATCGGAATCAGGATTAAAAGAAATCACGACTTTTGTTCAAAGGTTCCTTCGTTGCTTGCGTTGTTGGAGGGAACACCCTCTCAGTGCTTTCTCTTGATATGGCTAGCATGCCTTATCCCTTTTGCGTTCATCCCGTACATAAAAGCGTCCGCTCGCGCCGTCATCCTCTATTACGACGTGCCTGGCAGTAACGTTCATCCCAAACAACCTAGATACCCTAGCTTGGGTTCCGCTCCTTCTCCCAGTCCGCGAAGTCTTTTGTAATGGACTCGACTTCCTTCTTGAGGTGCTGGATTTGCTTCTCATAATCTTCCAAGACCTAAAATCACAGTTAGCGACCAGAACCAAATAGCCGGCCTGGCTGCAAAGACATACCTTCTTCGTCTTGTGCTCAGTCTCCTCGCTCAAACCCTCGCCACTCGCGAAAGCAGGCTTATTCGTCTCCTTCATCAACTGGTCCGCGTAGTCCCTGAGCACAATCAACCGGCTCCAGAGCTCCTCCTCTCTCGCCGCCAGAGCAGGATCCTGCACGTTGCGCTCCAGTTCCGCCAGCTTGAGTCGCAAGTCATCCTCGTCACCGCTGAGAGCGTATCCACGGTTGCGCAGCACCTGAACGCGGGCAGCCAGCGCGAGACACCGCTCGCGAAGAACAACGTGACGGCGACGGGCCGCAAGGGCACGCACACTGGTCTCGAGGTCGTGCCGCGAGAGGATGGCGTCGAGACTGGCGTTGATCTGGTGCAGGCGCACGTTGAGTTCCCCTACAACCTTTTTCTGCGTTTGGAGGCGGGCCGCGACGCCGGAGAAGCCTGTGCAAAGGACCGGGATATAGCCCGGCGCGGGCTTCTTCTGCAGCGCCTCCTCCCAGTCTCTCGGGTCTTCGTGTGGGCCAGGCTTGTAGAATGGGACGGAGGCTTCGTCGACTTTGTTGTAGAAGTAGTGCTTAAAGGCGCAGTTGGGGTTCGTGGGGTTCCACTTCTCGAAGATGAGGGACATTTGTTCAGGAATGGGCTTTTGGCTCTCTGTAGATTATGAGTTAGCGTCGGTCCAAACGATATAGCCCGCCGGACGAGCACAAGAACGTACGAGGTGTATCCCTTCCGGGTTGCCAGAGTGAGCTCGAGAGCTGTGCTTGCGACTGCGACAGACTGGGCATTTGTTGCTGCTGCTGTTGCTGCTGTTGCTGCTGTTGTTGCTGCGGCTGCTGAGGCTGGGCCATGGAGTTGCCGAATGCGCCTCCCTGGGTCTGATTTTGTCCTCCAAACAAGCTCATGCCGGATTGCTGTTGCTGCTGCTGCTGTTGCGGTTGCTGCTGTGTTGACTGTCCTAACGTGCTGCCACCAAAACTACCTCCTCCAAAGAGACCTCCAGTCTGCCCAGCGGGCTTTGGTGCGCCGAACAAACTCATGATGTGGAATGAGTGTCAGGTATAATTTCGATGGTATTCGGAGCAAAACGTTGGTCCGTCGCGGGTATCGTCTGGCCGCAGGCGATTGATGCGCGAAGTTGCAACGAAATGCAAACTATAAGCCAAAGAAGCTCAGCGCAAAATCGATGAAGGAATTGGGATGAGAGACTGGCGGGTATCAAAACAAAGAGAAGCTTCCAGGAGCGGCCAGGGCGCGAAGAAGGCGGTAGACCTCTTTTTGTTTTCCCTTGGGCGTTGGCGGAGATGGCTCGCTGGGTATCAAATCGCAGGGCTGTTGAGAGCTACCCTGGGGAGACAGGAAACGAGCCCAGCAACGCGAAAATAATAAATCGGAGCTTGCAGCTGCTGCAGCCTTCACCGGGCGCCACTCTCTCCCAGACCGAGCCACCTTACAACTGGAGCTGACCTCAGCCACACTAGTTCCACTTCAGCCTCGCCCTCAACCGATCCAATCAGGCGTCTCCTAAATCGACCTCACATCAATTCGTGGTAGCGTCCATTGCCCGGAAAGCTTGCTCTGGAGACCATCCGAACCGCCAAATCGACCGCTCCCTTCCGCCCTCCCCCCAGCTCCCATCACAACAATCGCAGCCATGGCTAACCGACGGCCTCAGTACGTTCTTTGTCCCCCTCCCAGGCCGAACAGGCAGGCCAATTGAGCCCAGCCGCCGCCGACGAATACCCCGGCCCGTTCGCAATACAGAGAGCTCGAGAGAGAGAGGCTAACACCCAACGCCAGGTTCAACCAGCAGTTCCAGGTCGACACGACCCCTCTGCCCGACGATATCCCCAAGGTCAAGGAGATTGGTGCCAGCTCCGCGCCTCTCCTGTCGGCGTCCTACTTCATCGGCGCCCGTTGCCGCGAATACAATGACGACTTCATGCAGTGCAAGACGGACAGCGCGGGCCGCGGCGAGTTTGATTGTTTGAAGGAGGGTCGTCGGGTCACCAGATGCGCCTCCAGCGTGTACGTTGAATCCGTTGCTATCCCAGCGAGCCTGGTTGTCGTGTTGCCGACGGGCTGCCGCTCAATTGCGCCCCAATGCCGCAGACAATGGGTCGCGAGAGCAGGTGGCCTTTGATAGGGATATCGAATCGCTGACATGGGAACGACACTACATAGGCTGAAGGATATCAACACCCACTGCCTCGAGCAGTTCAAGGCCCACTGGACCTGCATCGAGAACCGTAACCACCAGCTCTACCAGTGCCGACCAGCCGAGTGGAAGCTCAACAAGTGTGTCTACGAGAACCTGGTACGTCACAATCCCGCGATTCCGGTCCATACGAAGCGATCGATTTGAGCACTCCCCACTCCCTCAAATCAACCTAAGATTCGCGACTAACATGCAATGTCACTAGAAACTCGAGAAGAACATCCCCGACCAGCGCCCCGGCGCCACCCCCGTCGAGCTCCGCCACCACATGATCTACGCCGACCAAGCCATCAACACCCTCGAGGGCAAGCCCTTCATCCCCCCGTCAAAGCAACAAGCACCGTAGAGGTGTGGCAAGAGCAGACGGTAATATGGGGGTTTAGCGATTTCTCCCGCGTGAGCGCGCGGAGGGGAACCGAGGGCTTTGCGTTGAAGATGTAGGACTTGGAACTAGGCGATAGAAAACGCTGTGTACATATGTCATCAATCAGAGTTGGGATCAAACCAATGGCTTCACTTTTTTTTCTAAACATTTTTCGACCCAATGCAGATCTGCTTTACTTGTTTCAATGTCTGCTACCGCTTCAGTCGGGTACCCCTGTTGATTGTTAATAGAAAGAGTGCTAGACGTAGAGACCATATTGGCTGTTTTATATCTAACTCAGGGCTCTGGGAGGTATGTGGACGATCTTTTACTAGATGGAAGCGGCTGGCCACATACTGCTGTTGCGGTCTACACTTCTACAGATGACGCTCAGCACCTCTTACAGTAAAAAAGCGACCAAAGCAGCAAAAGAGTTCACCCCCCCGGTGCTGAACTGGGGGCTACATCTCTGGCGCACTTGCTGGGAATCGAACTCGAACTCGTAGCCTGTCGTCGAGTAGGCTGTGGGCGTAATTTGATTGTCGACCTTGAACCACTCCACCACCCAGCCAGTTTGACCTGACCCGTCGACCTATACGGGCGCCTGCTGGCTGGTGACAGGAATGGAATTGAAGGGGGGTATATACCTTTGGCTTCGCTCTCGTGGGTGTATTGGGTGTAGACCAGATGAATATACGGTGCGTACACGTGATCCCGTCTTGCTCAGCTCCCCGGGTTGCCGATGGCTTTTGGGGGTCCTATGGGATACCTTGGTTACGAGTCCATCTCCCTAAAAAGTGCATTTTGGGAGGAATAACACCTTCACTTCCGTTGCTAGTCTCCTAGATGCAGCAATCATGTTCAATCATGAGTAGTCACGATGCTGTGTAGCAGATAGTCAACCAGCAATACCACAGCTGGGGAGCCATAGCATCGTTAACAATGCTCCTTCCCCTGATGGAACTACAATGCCCCTCCATCCGCAGCGAGGCGAGACATCTGCCCGAGGCGTCACAGCAAAGAAGATTACCCGCCAGCATCCAAAACCCTTTGAACCTTCCTCCAACCTCTATTTACCCTATTCGCTATTTTTCGCCTCCATATCACCACCAACCTCAGCCCAAGCATGTCACCCCAAGACTGTCTCACGCCTGTCGCCCCGCCACTACTATCCACAAGCTATGTATTCCATCTTGCCTTTCGTGAGACGTGATAATCTACCTAAGCCCCGCCAACCTGAGATGTCTCTGACAGGAAGAATAAAAGCCGAGGCTGACTCCAGTATACTCACAGAAACCGGGCACATTCATCTAGCTCAACTACCACCGCACTCTGGCCCACGTGTATAACGAGTGGGGAGACCTGTAGCAGTCTAGAACGCAAGAGGATTGTCAAAACTGTCTCTCTGTCTTGCCGAGATCTCACAAAGACAGGCCACGTTACAGTTAGATCGATGCTCAGGTTGCTTCCACGAGCACTGAGATCGGGGAAAAGTACAAAGCACAAGTAAGCTTTTGTCTCTGAGCTTTCAGGAACTGCAGTATCCAGCTGTCAGCAGGTAGCCGAGGCATAACGAGTCAGGCTGATATGGGGTGTAGAAGAAGTTCGGTCACGCCTCACAGGCGGGATGACAGGGTGAGGGAGATCATGACATATTCCCCAAAACTGAAATGTCTGATTTTTGGCTCGACAGCGTTTTGTTCATGTTTAAGGGAGTGAGTGGGATAATCCTTAGATGTGAGTAACATTTTAGCTCCGTCGCAAATACGATATGAGACCAGTTGAGCGATGAGCACGGCGAATTCAAAGTTCCCAACAAAACCAACTACAAATTGATAATGCTAGTAACCGATGTGTTGTCCAGCAAGAAACCCCTCCTTTTGTCAAGACCATCCGGTGCATCTCCCCCGTGAAAGCACAATCTACCTCCAACACGGGGCTTCACACGGGACAAGAACGCCACCAACCTTTGACGAGACATAGAGCACCTTTGTGGCCCCCCAAGTCTCCGTAACCTTGCTGTCCTCATCCCAAGGTAGCCACACGCAGTCTACGTAGTCCTCTATAGCCCGTCAAGTTGGAGCGTACTGTCGGGGTGGGCGAGAAAGTACACTTTGGCCGAAAGGTTACGAGTGCGGCTTCTCCTTCACTGACGCGAACCTGCCATTTAAAGTCTACAGATGCCTGGCGTCTCGCTATAGCATTATTTATGCCAGTTCGAGTCTCCTTTTTTTTTGACTTTTTTCTACTTCTAATTTACCTCACTTTAATAGCTGATCGTTGTGTTTACCTTGAGATATGTTGCACCTTCAGATAAAAGTATGCTGTTCGGCCAAAAACACCAGTTGAGACTTGGTGACACCGACGGGGATCGAACCCCAGCCCAACTCCCTGAACAGACCTTTTGCTTCAAGCTGACTACCTCTCCAGAGAGGCCAAAGCCACAAAAAGAAGCAGGAAGCCGCTCCTGGGTGGGTAGGACGTTGTGTCGTGTGTCAAACGATGCGGGCGAACATATGTAATAGGAGACGATGGAGAGAGCGCAGACAGAAAACTGACGGGCTATTCTTATCCTGCGTGACGGCGGCCCAGACATCTCACTGAAGAGGGTGGCCGGACCTGGACTCCCGTGAAAAGGAATCAGACTTCCGTGGCGGCTTATCAAACTATTCGCTGTTCCAGGAGAGCACGCGGAAAATGTCACAAGTTCTAGAAAAGCCGTTCCGATACAATCGTCCGGAAGAGGAACGGTAAGGAGGACCAGCTGGGTAGGACGTGTATCCCATCAGCCCCGAATGTCTCTAAGCGAGGCATTGGGCTAGGCATTTTGAGTCCGATGCCATCACGAGAAGTCATGCAGGCAAATCGAACATCTCTGTCTAGTCTAGAACCATGATGACGCTTACCGGCAGAGACCGATACAGACTCATTCTTTCGTCCGGGGAGAGTCGTACAAGCAATGGCAGCCGGTCATGTGTTCCCCTCCAGAGTTGTCCGATCTGGGACTCAAAGTGCGGGGCCACATCAGATCCCGGAAGGGCGGCGGTGTCGTCGCACAATGGCTAGGCATGATCGAGCGTTATATACTTGCCACGTCGGGCAACCATTGCTAGGACTGTACCTGTTGGATGGTCCTCAGTTGTCAAAGCGGTGGGCCTCCTCAACCCGGGTGTTGCCTTCTTGTCTAAGACACTGGACTAGATGGTGAACCCCGTGTTCAGATCCTGCGGCATTCGACCCCTTGGATCTGACTCCTTCATTGAGACCTCGTCAGCATCTCAAAAGAAACAACCGTTAGTGATGTTCTCGCCACCGCAATATGTCAGAGGAAGCATTCCCATCATGTTTGACGCTGTCGTGAAACCGCCGTCGGCTTGACGTCTCAGGGTTCTGCTGTCGACAATGTGAGCAGAGGGGAGATGGAGGGGCTCTATCATGCCAGGCGCTTAAAGCGGTAGGGTAGCGCAACCTTAACTCCCGGGCGCTGAACGACCAGGTTGCAAGAAGTGGCCGCAGCCCATCGTCAAACAATATGTTTCGGCTTATGTCGAAGGGTTTGGGCGATCCAAGTGGTTTTCAGCCAACCGGATGCACTTTGGATGGTAAAGTCCAGACAGAAGGCTTGAGGTTCTGCACTCTCAGTCTGGCAAACAAGGCCGCCAACCGGCCTTGGCGGCTCAAGACAAAGCTGGCGCTCTCCTCCTAGGTTTGCTCTGGAGGATTCGCGACCCAGAAAGCAAGCAAGCTGCGCTAGTCACCAAAATCTCTTGTGCGGCATTAGCTTGCCCGGGATGGGATGGAGATGAGCCGATGTTGGTATCCGCAGTCTGATGATAGTCTTGAGCTCCAGCAGCGGCCGGGTCTTCAGATCTTGGGATCCATAATGGAGATGCCGTCTTCCCCGGGGCGGACGGTCTGAACGCTGACATGATGTGCCGCGAGGCCCGCGGTTCGCCGGCAGCGGTATAAAGAGGGACGCGGGGGGCAGAAAAAAAAGTCTCGCCAAAATCTCCTGGGTCAAGATTAAGGATGTTTGGTGCCCTGGAAGTAAACGATACCTCATTTCCTGGTGGGTGGGCAGCCTCAAGGTGGTCCTGTCTGAACCCTGTCCCGCTATCTCGATGGTCGTGCCCGCCCCATGACTGAGTGTGGTTGGACCTCGAATAGCAGGGGAGAGAAACGTCTGATTATCCGATAGCTTTGCGTTCATTTGCATAGAGAAATGAGATGAACCGACAAAGACAGAGGGTGTTCCCTGGCGGTCAGGCTCTGGCGGTCTAGGATAGCGATGTCGGAGACGTCCCCTCGTCTCCGCAATTAGTTTCACCATATGGGTTGTAGGTTAAGCTGCTGGAAGCCTGCAGAATGAAAGCCAATATCTAAGCTGTGGTATACCATCCTGCGTACGGATCCTTGAAGATGGAGGACATTTCCATCTGAGAGAAGTTGGAGAAGAGATGAAGTCCTCTGCTTCAGGATCTAAGTGTCATTGGCGATTGGCAAGGTTGCATTAAACTACTGTCGGGGAATGCATCTGTGCACCTCCCATCTGCAGGGGAGGAAACTCCCGAGCCAACGTCTTGTCGCTCTGTTGTGTTGAGTCTGTACGGATAGCTAGCACAGCTCAGTTTCCAGACCTTTTCAGCTCGAAGCGACCACATCGGATAGTATGAGGTGCTGAAGTCAGACGGATGGGGGCAATGTCTGTCACCCCGGCAAGACGCGCTGGACAGGACTATGAAAAGGCCTGGCGTCTGTGGTTTCCCTTACGGCATTGGCCACTCGAGATCGTTGGGGGATTGGTCGCCAAGAAGGCGGGACTATTCGATGGAGAGTCAATCAGTTGTGCTGGCTGTCTGTCACATACGCCATCTCGATCAGCACTGCTGATCACGGCTCCAGTCTGGCGAAGAGGGGGGCAGATTGGCTTTCGGGAGAAGGCCGTCTCAAACTTTGGTCGTTGGAAGATGCTGCCCACGCGGGGACTAACGTCAAGTAACAGCGGGAGACGGTTCTGAAGCGACCGTTGACGCCTGCCATCGTTTCTGCCGTGATCCATTGCGCCTATTGCATCTCTCCGAGTGGTCAGTTGTCGTATTCCGGAGCTCGAGTCATCCTAAACCACGACATATTTCTTGTGGTCGGCCGTGCATGGTATAAGTGCTGGCGTTAGTGTCCCGCTGCCGTCGGAAGTGATGCAGCGCTCGGGCGAATGATTAGTTTCCTCTTCGGCGGTCGCCGCACCAGAAGAACGCCTTTGAAATGGACACGCGGACTCTGTAGGTGAGGAGGCGTCCTTGGGTGCATGGCAATCGTTGCGTATCCTGTAGTTCGGCGAGCAACACCACGCCACGCGGCTTGCGCCCACGGAGACAAGTATCCTGGTGAGAGATGGCCCCGAGGAGGCATGACATGGAAAGGTTCCTAACTCCTTCTTCATCGTCTAGGCTTCTGGGGAGGAATCAAGAATAGAGGTTATCGATGCAGATGAGGTTCCGCTCTGGCGTTCACCAGCCGTGCCCACTGCCCATAGCTGATAATGTAGGGTGATCGGTATCGGTTGCTGCTTCTGCTCCTTTACCCCGGAAAGGCAGCATGATGGTGTTGTAGTGGGCGGCCGGAAGATTTTGCAGCTTCATCTCGCTCATCGTGAGTGCTGTACCGGGATGCCAGGTTTTGTTCCTGGTCGGTCGTCATCGGTAATCAGACGTCAATAGATGCGTCGTGTGCGATGAGACGCTGACAGGATGACAGAAGCGGCACAGATGGTGATGTGGGGAGGGGGCCAACAAAAGTCTCCACGAAGTGTAATGAGGTCATTTGGCGAGACAGCGGAAGAGACGGCCAAGGTGATGCGGCAGTAAAGTTTAACGAAGACTGCCGACCGGGGATGGTTGACAGGAGCACAGCGTGTGAGCGTGCGTAGACGTGGTCCTCAGCGTTGCAGCGATCGGACCAGTGAAAGCGCCATGGCTTGGGACGTTGCTTAGGAGAGAGGCTTTGGGAGACAGAGAGAAAACAGTGTGAGCTTGGCGGCAACGAGAGAAATCAGAGAAACAGAGAAACAATACGTTCTGTGGCACTTTGGTGAGCCTGGCAGAATAGAACGAATGGAAAGGTGCACAGTTCATGGTCCACGCAACGCTTTGAGCAATTCGCGGAAAGACTGGATGAACGGGTCCCCACCGAAATTAAGGCCGTTTCAGACGGGTGGATCTCCCCGGGCCAAGTGGCTGTTTGATGGAGACGCCCAGCAGACCCTTGCAGCAATCAGGGCAAGAACGACTGCATCTGCAAGGCACCGGCTCGGTCAGCCGTTGGTGTTGAACCAATGGGACGAGGCTACTGCACGCTGCCGCTTGGGGATTGGCCAGAGATGCCGGGAGACCAGGAGTCGGGACGTGGGCGGGAGGGCAACATCCATCTCATCGTCCCATGGGAGGAAAGCGCAAGGGAGGGGGTAAATGGAAGGGGTGTGCGTGGAAGGAACGAGGCGCCGGGACGAGGGGCGGAGCGAAGGTGCGCTAGCTGATATTGGCAACAACCAAACCAAAGAAACAAGCGCTGGGGAATCTGCAAGCCCCTTTTCCCCCTCCATTCGACCCCATCACTATCGTGATTCCACCCGCAATTGCAGACAAGTTGATAGTGTTAAGTATCGCGGTATCATGGTGCTAGTCAGCCAAGGCCGTTGCGGTGTTTTTCGAAGAAGCTGAGGGCACAGGGACGGGAGCGCGCTGTCGCCGGCACTGACGACGAAAGGGCATCGGGATCCAGGATTCAGCAGGGTAGCTGACTCTCAGGCTTCAGCTTGACGCTTGAATCCGCTCCTTGATACTCCTTGGCTTGAAATTTGTGGTAGAGACCCGTTGTCGTGGTGAGGGGTTGAACTTTGCTGTACACGTCTGCGGATCTCCGTACCAGAGCATGGAATCAAGAGAGTAACAAGGGATCGATGTCTAGATCATGTTGTATAATTGCCCTCATCTAGGCGTGCAGGTTCACCGCATGCTGTAATCTAGACCGGTAAAATCGGCCTCTCTGGATCGGGAAGCTGACCCAGTGATAGACATCATCTAGACCAAGGTGCATTGCGGTGCCGCGGTGGGAGGAGCCAAGATGCGAGGATCTGCTCGTTGCATGGTGCGAGATGGGAAGCAGAACCCTGGATAAGGTGAGCTGAGGTGCTGCAATGCATGCTGGGCTGACGAGCTGACCGTCGGTGAGGCGTAATTTCAGCGTTGTGCTGCTATTGACTACTGCTATTCCTGCTGTTGCCGTGCAGCCTGTGGTGCTGTCGAGGTCTGTTCCCCAGTCGCCAGGATGAAATAGAGTATTTTGACTTTGTTCCTACCCGCCGTAATGTCTTCTCACATGACGATCAATCGACATGTGCATCTCTTGAGGGACGAGACACAGGTAATCGCAGTAACTTACCTAATATTAGCTAAGGGATTGACGTATGTACCCGAGGGTGGAAGTGAGAAGGGACCGGTCGAAAAGCCATCGTTGGTCCTTCCCTCTCTTCCGTCCCTTCCTTCCTTCTATTGCCTCTACATTCACCAAAACCCGTTCCTTCCTTCCCTTGAATGGCGGTGGAGGGGAGATGGGAATGATACGTCCACCCCCGCATGACCTCGATTTAATCTCCAATCCACCCCACCCCCTCCCACTTACACCGGGCACACGCTGCAGAGTGCAGGAGCAACACAGGCAGTTCGTCCCTTCCCTTCCACAGTTCATCGTGACCCCGGACAAACCAAACAAGACCAATTTCTTTTGGGGCCTGCGCAGCTCTTGCTTTGCTTGTCTCGCCTCCAGGTCATCGCCCTTCATCACCGTTGCCTCCACCTTTTCTGGCCGGATCCCGCTCCACGGACCACGAACACTTGACCCTCGTCACGCTTCTTGGCTTTTGAATCTGCGCTGTAGACTGTAGCCTGCAACGCAGCAACAGTGTTTGTTCATTCCTTCCTGCAGGGTTCACTTTGCACTCCCGTCGTCCCGTCCGGTCCTGCGTTCGTTAGGTCGCTCATTTTCTATTCTACCTTGCCTCGCAAATCTCACGCCTCTCCACACGCCAGGGCAGCATCCAGCGCCAACCTGGACCTCTCACCACCACTCATCTCAACCTCCACACTCACTCAATCACTGATTCACTCACTCCTCACACGCTCACTTTCTCTCACACCCCAACTCGCCTCCATATCCACACTTACGCAGCGGTAGTCATTTCGGCCCCGTCAACTCAACCACCACAGTCCACCAGCAATATCACCATTCAGCAGCCTAGCCCAGGCGCTATCCACGGTCCGTGGTACAACCCACGCACACCAACATCCTCACCAACACTGCATATCGCCCCCCCCCCCCCCGGCTGCCCTGGATTCTACCCTTGTCTGGACTAGACTTGCACTGGACCCAACGCTCAGACTCTAGTCTCTCTCCGCCCAGTCCCTCGATCCCAGTCGTGCGGGTTTCCGTCGTCCTGTCCGCTCCCTTTTAGTAGCCAGACGTCGCCATCCAGAACATCTTGTTTCTCCTTCTTGCTTCACCACTCCCAGGAGACCACTTCGTTCGACCCCCTTCACCCCCCTTCTCTTCTCCCGCCTAGGCCTCGGTCGCCATCGTGTCTGTTCGACACCGTCCATTCCTTTTAAAACCAATCACATTGCCCCCAGGTCCCGACCACGAATCCCCTCTTTTCCTGCACCCTCAACCTTCCAGGATAGAAGGATAGGCTACCGACATTCCTTACGGATCCCGATACCTCTTCACGTTCTCTACCCAAAAACACAAGCATCAGGCTTCTTGTCACTCCTTCGCAACCTTTCTCACGAGACTTCTTTTTTTCCGGCTCACCACCTCAAAAAAAGATTTTACGACTCCCGACCGGTCACTCCTTCCCAACTTCAACAACTCAGCCGTTGTTCAACCACACTCTTTCTACAACACCACCAGGTCCTTGACGGAACCGTATCAGCAGTGCTCGATCACCACACAGCTGGCTCTGAGAATTACCTCACGGGAATTCATTTGCCTCCGACAAACCAACTCACAAATTCTTCCCGACACAACTACCACCTTCGGACTAGATCCCCGGTAGCCAGATTCCGCGAATCTCTTCAAGACATCAAAAACTCAAAAAAGGTAAGTGGCACTGATCCAGACTCCCCTCCTCCCCACATTCCCCACCATATCCTCATTCCTATCGCGTCAATGGCATTGTTTGGAACACCGTTTTCAAGACAGTCAAATGCCACCGCGATACAGCCCGCTGCCGCAGACAATACAATGGACAAAGAACCTCTGCTGCCCTTTGTTCATTGTCTCGCCCGACACGTGTGCCCACTTGACTCACGCTTGGTTGAACAACGAGTTCGCCTGGGCCCGGGTCGATGGCATCGAGTAGTGTCAGCTGGCGTGCCAGCGTGCGACTAAGGCTGAGTCTCGTCACCTCACGAAGGACATATATCAGGCTGGTGTTTCCTGATGTTGCTCGAGATGCTTGTCTTACCTTTCTTCATCACACTCTTTTTTTCTCCAGCAAGCACGCGCTTATTCGCACTTTCCTTCATTTATTTCACTTCACTCACTTCCCTTCGCTTCATCCTCATTCACTCAGATATCACCACTTCGCCGGGCGAAGCTAACCATCATTCAGGCTCATTCTCGTTGATTTCACAATCCAACCTTCAAAATGAAGTCTTCCATCGTTCTTGCCGCCACTGGCGCCGTCCTGGCCATGGGTGCCGCCATCGACCCCCGTGCCATGGAGACCGTCTTCGACGTCACCTACGTGACTGTCACCGTCACCGAGGGCGTCCCCGTCGAGACTCCCGCTGCCACTCCTTCCAGCAGCCTTCCCCCCAAGGTTGAGGAGACCCCTGCGCCCGCCCCTGTCTTCTCTACCATCACCACCAAGCGCCGCTCTCGCACTCCCAAGGCTTCGACCACCCCCACCCCGACCCCGACCCCGACTCCCACTCCCACTCCCACCCCTGAGCCGGTTGTCGAGCAGCCCGTCGCTTCGGAGCCCGCTGCCTCCTCTTCTGCTGCTCCCGTCACTTCCGTCGTCGAGACTACCCAGTCTACCCCCAGCACCGCTGCCACCGTCAGCGACCTTCAGACTGCCGCCATTGATGCTCACAACAACCACCGCAGCAACCACTCCGCTCCCGCTCTGACCTGGGATGCCGACCTTGCCAGCTACGCTCTAATCACTGCCAAGACCTGCGTCTTCGAGCACGACATGTAAGTACTGATGAGAACCATGGAACCGTTCCGTCTCTGACCTTTATCTAGGACTACTGGTGGTGGCGGTTACGGCCAGAACCTCGCCATGTGGGGTGCCACTGGCTCCGAGAACTTGGGTGAGGCCAAGGCTGCTCAGCGTGCCATTACCGAGCAGTGGTACAACGGCGAGCTCAACCTCTACCCCGGCTACGGCCAGGCCAGCCCTGACATGACCAACTTCCTCCAGTGGGGTCACTTCTCCCAGTTGGTCTGGGTTGACACCACCAAGGTTGGCTGCGGTGTCTACTACTGCGCCGCCGGTACCCTCAGCTCCATTGGCAGCTGGTACACCGTCTGCAACTACAAGTCCCAGGGTAAGTTGATCTTTCTCTATATCTTCTTGTACGATATTAACGATTATACAGGCAACGTTATCGGCAGCTTCGACAAGAATGTCCTGCCTCCCGGCAACGCCGCCACCATCACCGTCGCCTAAGCGTCGTGACACGCAACTGCATTGCACCCTTCGTGTTGCCCGCTTGAAGCATAACTGGGTTTTGTTTGCGACACGGCCACCGGGTACGAGTGCGGATGAGCTCCGTCGCATTAGCGAGGCATTTCTTCTCTTCTACCGCTGTACTTTAACAGGAGATCGCTTGACCTTTTTTCGATCTCCTTGTCCCTCTCCTGGGACCCTTTGAATCATGCGCTTTGGTCGCCCACGAATGGCATGGGCAACTATTCTCTTCATACGAAAATTTCCTCAAGGCACTTGCGTGATGGAAACACAACGTCTTTTTTGCGCCGGCCGAGACCATGATTCGAGGACAACTGGACATTGATGATGATGCATTTACGGATCTGGCGTGGAACAAAGAAAATCATTTTGGGGAAAGGGAACCAACCCACCATGGAACATTGCATTTTGCTCTTCTTCGATTCTTGGCCTGGTTTCTTCTTGTCCCTCACAGTCATTTACCCGGTCTGTCACTTGACAGGCGTCTGGGTTATGAATCTGTCTGGGCGAAATCACGGCACCCTGTTTATGACTCTTTTGGTTCTTTGTACCTATGGTTCTTCTTCAACTTGAATTTCGGGTTTAGGGAGGCTAGGCAATGGGATCCATGATTTTTATGGTTTCGCAAAATATGTTCTCGAGGACAAATCGGTCGTGAAGTGAAGACTTGAGTGATGTTCGATGTTTGTGTGTGGTGTCTCTTCCTCTTTCTTGATACACTTGTATCCTTGGTACCGAATAGGATCACTGTGTCATACTACCAGATTTCGCTGGCTCGTCAACTTGACTGTGTCTTGTGTCGTGGTTGCGTGCGCCGTTGTGAAGTGACGTTTCATTTGTGCACATGTCGGTTGCTCCGATGTGCGAGGACTCGAGGACTCGAGGTGCGTGGTTACGGTCGCCGGCCGCAGAAAGAGGTTGTAGTAGGTCGGCTATTGTTTCCAAATATTCTGATACTGAATCTTCAAGTGCGTGCGGACTTGGAAGGCGAACACTACTGACAGCCAGACTTCCAAGAGGGGGGGGATATATTCTTCTTTTCAACTTGTCGGCAGCATATACGCCTGAAAGCGCACCGCTACCTGATGGCGCGTGTGTTCACGTTGTGTGGCAGTGAGGTCCGCCCCCTGAGTCCAACGGCATTGTGAAACGTGCTGCTGCGGCTGATGGCTGTGAAGAACGGCGTGGGTTCGGACGGTCCCAGTGGATGGGATGGTTGGGTGTGGGGAATTAGGTGGTGGTTCAACGATGGTTCTTTCAATCTGCGACTTTGCACTATCCGCGTGTATATGGGCAACATGGCTGTGTTCAGAGTAGAGTGAGCGTTGAAAATAGGGGAGGGGGGGATTCACGGGTATGTGGGAGAAATTCTTCCTTTTAAATGGGGTTTTGGATGTTTGGGAGAAAGAGGCCACAAGAGGTTGCGGCAATGAGAGCTTCTTTCATTTATCTCGAGCGCTGTGGGAAACGAATATGCTTCTTATAGGATTTGGTTATGATTTTCTGTTTGACGGCATTTATTAGATTGGTATCCCGAGGAGTTGCTTGATGCCGAAGAGATTTTGTGCGTATGGAGGGTATTTTCTTGCAGGTTTTCCGGATCGCTGACTGGTGTTTCGTTTAGATATAAGTCATTGGCATATGGGCGTCTATGCTGACGACTCTCTGCTTCTGTTTCCATTCACTGTATAAGGAATGATAATGTTTGATTGTCGGTATGGCACATATCTGGGCAAGTAGGTATCCTTCATAGGATACCGCCGTGGATATCCGTACTTCTCGTCCACATTCGAACTTGAAATCAGCTTGGCACACCACGTCCGGTTGCTATTACCGTCATCCGCTCAACGGGGCTCAGAGCCTCGTATAGTATAGACTCGTGGCAAAGAAAAGTGAAAAGAAAATGGAGCTCGTTCTCTCCAAAGACCAAGGCGGCGCTTTTCCCGCATGGCAAGGCGGAGTAAAAACACCGGAGAGACATGTCTCTGGCTTCTGAAAGATGGCCTTCGCTGGACTCCCAACGCTGAACTAAGACACGGACGTGGATCAGCGATCCGAGTGCCTCTCCGTGTAAGCAAAGGAATCCTGAGCGAAAACCTAGCGCGGCATCGTGAAGTTTTGTGGATGCCATTGAGGAAGTTGCGGACGAAGAAAAGAAGACTTGACAGCAAATCCTATTTTGCATATATGGAGCGCGGACGAAGTCTCTCTCTTCATTTTCCATCTTTTCAGTGGTGACTCTCCACTTCCTCGGATCAGACTTGCTAGGTTTCTCAAACTCTTCACTGAACTGCTCCAGATCATCGTCTGGCATCGAGGGTAGTGTAGCAGCTTCTCCGGTTCACTTTCCCTCGAGGATCACCATTGTGCGTTCCTTTCAGTGCCCCTATTATACGCCCTCCATTCAGGTTCTGGTCACTGATGGAGTCGAGTTCCGAGGCGGGCAAACATGACCTGAACCGCGACGAAGCCATAAGGCGAGAATCTGCACGAGATCGTCACGGCCTTGAAATTTACGAACTAGCCATCGAGAACCTGACGTGTGAGGAAAGAACGTTTTGCTCCAGAAGACTATTTCGCTCATCACTCAGTCGTTCATCACGTGGAAGGCTTTTGCCAAGACCGACTCCCTATTGTGTGATAACACAGCCTCGAGATGGCAACGCGAGGGTCTCTGGCTGGATCAAGTGAGATTCTAGACATTACTGCTCACCGAACGGGCGGGGAGACGAGAATCAACCAGAGAACGTATAGCTATCGCAGGATTGCCAATTTTAGTAGTGATGGATGTACGATATGATGGGATCGCCAGGGGTGTGCGATATTTGAGGTTGAAAAGAGCTTGTCGCTGAGTAAGGTGTCCTTCAAGGAGCTGATGTTGATGGTATTGCCGACCTGTTGATACTTCATAGTATCTATGGAATTGGCTAGGAATACCCCCATCCGCGGATAGAAAGGGATAGAACCAGAGATAATGTGTGCGTAGCTGTCCCTTCGAGCTCTTCTGGCTGTGAAGTCTAGGTTAATGGGAATGAGATGAAATGGAGAGGAACTCACGACCAGGAGTGGGACCTCTCGAATGAGATTTTCAAAAGTCCTGCCAGTCTGGTCTGCCATCTACTGTTCTAGCAATCATGGTAAAGTTCAAGTCCTTTCTGCTGTCGGCGACGTGGCCGTCGAGTTCTCGCTCACTAGTCTTCGCACCAGGGATGTATACAAAAGATGATGTTGGCCGAAGACGGAGGATGTTGGACAAAACTCAGCTGCCATTACTCGCCGTTACTACTACATAACGTCCACCGGATCGGGATAAGGCCCATGTAGGCAGATCTGGGGAACTGTCGCGCAGAGTTTGGGCCCGGAGGCCTGGCCGCGGGCACATGCTCCCATGCGAGCTCATGCAACCTGACCCAGGCCGGCGGCTTGATCACTGCTAGTCTACGGAGTACAGTCAGGGTGAATGTCTTACAGCGGCAGGAGTAGCCTCACACCCGGTCTTCCGGGGACGGGGGGCACGGGGGGTATTGCTCTAAGGCTCAGGCCCCTCGAAGCTAATACTCGAAGACCATATGAGAGTACTTGACTACTAGTATTCACTCATCTTGGAATTCCTCGTCCTGGCAGCTGGCTAGATTCGAACTTGCGAAGTCGCTGGCTTGTATGATATCACCTGCGTAGACGTCCTGGTGCTTGGCATGCAGGGCCAGAGAGACATGCGTGGGATGGCCACGCCATCTGAATATGTTGATAACATTACACAAGCTGTAAGTTAACTTGCAGTCTGTGAAGAACCCCCCCTCATGGTTATTATGACTCAAATCACTGGTAATGGATTACATGTATCCTAGAAGCTAAGCTGTGAAGTCATCGCAGGCTGATAAGACGGGGCGCGATCAAGAGCCAAGGTGTAGGTTATCCACGGCGGTGCCACATTTTTCTTGGTTTCTCTTGGAAAAATGCTTCGCCAAAAGCTTGACCTGATCATCACTGAATGTCACTCTTGGCTGTAGTAATTCAGGTGTAAGCCATGAACTCGGACCTAAGTCAACCACCACCAAATGAATACCGAATATGACTGTTTAATAATATAGTATACTCCACAGCGATTGACACCATCTCATACCAGATATAAAATATTAATGTGATATCATCAGTCGCGATGTACTGAGATATCTCCATACCACCCCTCCCACATGCAAACAAACAGTGAGAGTTGCGGAGATCTCTTTTGTCAGTGGCCCGTGCATGGACCGGGGTGTAATAACTCCGTGGCTCTCCACGCCATCCACACGCATCGCGTTTTCTTATCTCTCTCCCTGTCAACCCTCTCGCTGATACCGGCGCACGATTTGCAACCTCGACTCGAACTCTGATGTCAACCACCCGACGACGCCCATAACTTATCCGTTCTGCCTTTCTGCCCTCGAGCTAGCGGGCCGGGATATGAAGAACGGTGCGGGAGCCGTAGCGTAGCTCCTTATCGTTTCTTGGCCGCCGGCCACTCTCCACCACTGTCCGTCACAGATCATGGAGCTGCTGCAGGACAAAGAGGAGGTAGTCTCTGAGAAACCCTCGTGCGGGCCATCTAGCAGATCATTGTGTCTGAGATCGAGCTTGACATCCTGTCGTTATTGTGTGTCTTTGGCCGTCAGCGAATAAAAAGTATTCAGACCACCCATCGCGAAACCGAGCAGCCCAATTGACGAGGTATTTCTCACTCCAGCTGAAGTCAGCAAGATGAGCCCAATAGCTACCGAATTTCCTTCAGACATTGACTCTATGGCTCTTGGAAATCACTTTCTTCTCACAAGTGTGAAATGTTGTTACAATCCTTTCTCTTTTGTCACCCTTCTATGCAACCCCAATCTAAAATTGAAATATTATCAAGTCTCTAAGCGATCTTCGGCCGTTGGGTCTTGATGAAATCAGATACATGGGGTCTCGGCAGAAGCCTGCAGCTATTCACGCGCTTTTTACTC